CTGGGCGTGTTCCACATCCCAGCGGCGCAGAACCGCCACGCTGCGTTCAGACAGAAACACGTGAAGACTCATGCAACAGTGATGGAGCCCTGTTTTCTGAATGGGCTGGCAAGATAAGGCTCATACCCCCCCCCCCCCGGCAGCACACGCATGCACGTACAGTACATGTATGCGCGTGTCCTGGGCGTGTTCCACATCCCAGCGGCGCAGAACCGCCACGCTGCGTTCAGACAGAAACACGTGAAGACTCATGCAACAGTGATGGAGCCCTGTTTTCTGAATGGGCTGGCAAGATAAGGCTCATACCCCCCCCCCCCCGGCAGCACACGCATGCACGTACAGTACATGTATGCGCGTGTCCTGGGCGTGTTCCACATCCCAGCGGCGCAGAACCGCCACGCTGCGTTCAGACAGAAACACGTGAAGACTCATGCAACAGTGATGGAGCCCTGTTTTCTGAATGGGCTGGCAAGATAAGGCTCATACCCCCCCCCCCCTCCAAAAAAGTAAACAAATAAAATTTAATCAATAAAGGACAAAAATCACAGATGTGAGGTCCAATGGAGATACTACCTTTGGAAGCACATGTCAGTACCTAAATACTAATTATATACATAACCTCCCTGATTATTCACATTGCTATTCAGTTTCTATGGCTCCATCCAGAACCATTCAGAGTAGTTTTATTGCATTAAGTACAATAATACAGGTTGTAAAGAGCACTACTGTATAGCACTACTGAAAGGCTATTGTTTCACTGCGCAAATATGGGGGTTACCCCTCCATTTATAAAGCAGAATTAGCTCCTATTTATAGTTGGGTTTTTTACAGTTAACACCATGCAAAATTCCTATTAGCCTATTGGTGCCTTGTCCTAGTGTTAGAGAACAGATCTCCATTCATTTTTCAGGGCTGGGATGAGCAGCAGCCTCAGAAGATGAATGGGATGGGAGAGCGCGAGCGCCTCATTGGGCAGACGGTCTCGGCGCATTGCCTGTGACACCAGCTACGTTATTTAAGCTTCAGGACTTTGCATACCCTTAATGCGAAAGAACGCACAAGACACACAGAAGATAGGAGAACGAGACAAGCACACAAACTGTAATGCTACAGACGTCATGCATAAACTGTGGAACTGTGGTTTGACAGGCAAATATCCATTAATTAACATGTAATTATTTATGACTGGATGAACTAGATAGGGTATACATGATGTAAAGCAGGACTTTTCAGTCGGATTTCCATATGACACATCATTTTACATGTTCCATGTTCATCAATAATCATTTAAAACTTGATTCAGCTTTTTTCCATAGCAATTAGATGACATTTCGTCCAGAAGTCCGACGGTATTGTGATTCATTTGCATTAGTCCAACCGAGTGATGAAAACAAAATCAAACCAGAAAAAAACCACGTACTGTAGCATTCACAGCACATCCACTAGACTCCATGGTTTTGCATTTCACGTGATTGGAAACATTGTATATAATACATATTTAGGCTTGTTTAAGCGTTATGAATGCTACATATTATCCACTTCAAGTCAAATCCAAACATAGCCAGAACTTACACACTTACAGTAAATGATGAAAATTACATTAATAAAATAATCACATTTTGACTCAAAAATATTAATTTCTATCATTTTACATGTTCTATTGGCAGTACAGCAATTAATATTCACACATTACTCAGAGTATTGACTGTACACCCACACGCTATCGTTATCACTCAAGTCTGTCTCTCTTGTCAACTTGGATTAGGATGATCTCTGGCTTGAACATCATCAGTAGGACAGTTTGGGCTCTGAAGCAGTCATTTCAAGAGGGTAGCTGGTTTTGGTACCAACACTGAACTAGTTACCTAAAAAGGTAAAGGTAATACCATGTCAAGCAGCAGTGTCACACTGACGTGGTCCTTTATGCCTCCCCTACGAGATCCAGCCTGCTGAAAGATCTGAGGGCAGTTGGAGATGGACTGATGGAGAGACAGGCATGGTGATCTGTGGCTGTTTTTGTGCAGGATGTGGCTCCATGTCATTATGTCGCACGGAGGTCATCTGGTGAGATGTCTCGGGGGGTGGGGGGGGGGGGTGTGGGGAGGCCTCGTCACCCACGGCGTGTGGTTTCAGGAGGCTGGATGTTGGTTCAGATCGCCCGCTGTACAGCACACGAGGACCACCTAACTACAGAGCCTAAATCTCTCTGAGCCAGATGGGTTCAAACACTTAAGGATCTGGGAGACATTTTTAGACGCTTCTTTTTAGTTAATTTAATGTAAAGCAGAATTGAATGAGTCTGATATTTCCTTCTGCAAGCGAAATTCACATTTGCTCAGCTAGATCTGCCTCGCTGGCTTCAAATCTCTGTCTTCAGAGGCTGTTAGAGTTTTAGTGTAAGTAATTTATTATAGTTTAATGAAGCCTCTCAAGAAAGCACTGTCTCTAATTAAACATTATCTTTGAAGAAACCTGAGATGAAGTTTTGATATGGATAGAGGACTTTTTTGGCCTACTGAGGCATTAAAACATTTTTGTTACATAGTTCTTTATACGAACCTCTTTATTCACAATGACATTACACAGAATTTCTAAATATCAGAATATACTGGTGACGTGACCCGCAGAGGGCGCTTTCTAGGAAGGGAAGTACTGATGTAATCCTGACTATGATAATTAGTTTGGTGTTTCCCAACCCGGTCCTCAGGGACCTCCAGAAGGTTCCCGTTTCCGCTCCAACTGGGAGGGAACAAAAACGTGGACTGTCTGGGGGCCCCCGAGGACCGGCTTGGGAAGCTCTGAATTAGCTAGCTGTACGTCCTTAGGAGTCACTCTTGATTTGCAAGTAATATAATACATATTCTATAAGGTCTGAAACGATAGCCCCACATTATGACATCACATATAGTACACAGTTCGTGCGTATGTGAAGTAACTGTACTGAGGCTGCTTAGCATGTGGTCCCGAGGGGCTTCAACAGCCCCCTGGTGTCGCCCGCGGTCCCACATGGTTCTATTACTAACCAATGTTCTGGTTCTTGTGAGTGAGTTTTCTTTCCTGGGGTGATTAAGGATGTAGGATGCAGGAAGCTGAGGTGCAGTTATGCATGTTTGACATATAGCTTTGCATGTAGTGCTGCTTCATGGGGAAGAAAAGGACACTGAGCTGTCCCTAAGGTGGGGATGGGATGCCGGAGAGGACAGTGCCTGCCGGGGCGATCAGTGAGACCTCGGGTCTAAAGCACGTCCACGGACCGTGTGAGGAACCTGCGCACCTGATTTCCGGATCCCTCCATCACTGGAGCACGTGTAGTCGCTGGTGGCCAGCAAGTAACAGGCCCTTCCGCTGTGGACGTGCCGGTCCTGGGCACTGGACCTGCGTGTGGGGTGGCTGTCCTCTGGGGACATGGTGAGGTCAGTTTCCCTGCTGCAGTCACCTGTCAAGACTGGCCAAAGAATTCACAAAATGTCAGACGCGAAGATCAAATAGGCATAGAAGCACAGAGCCCATAGATCCCATAGAGCGCTTTATGGGGGGGGGGATTTGGAATCTGGATTGGGGGCCCTATATATAGTATGCTTTCCTGGGGCCCAAAATCACTTCCATTTGTTTCTACCAACCAGCTGAGCATAAAAAGTCAGTCATATAATAGAATAATCAACTGGTTGGTAGAAACAAAATCCTGGTCTGGAATTGTAGCTTCTGGACCTAAGATGCGCAAGACTGCCCCTATATCTTGCTTGATCCCTTGCAGAATTTCCTAAAAAGCCAGAAAGTTTACAGGGCTAAAATATGTTAAATATTTGTGAAGGAATTTTTCAGCACAGTCTCAAAACTAACCTGAAAGTCAAATGTAAAAATGATATTATCACATGATTGTTTTTTCTCCAGAATATCTGAAGGAGATATTCTGGTATGAAAGTGAGGGCTTCCCACAGACGTCTCTGAGCCATCACGCAACCTCTGAGTTGTGCTGAGTCCAAACAACTCACCTGATCTGTTGTGCTCCAATGCCCTGTTGACCTTGTTGAGGCAGAGGTCACCCTGGGTACTGTTGCACGCCATGTTGTGCTCTGACTTGCAGCACGTGGGTGACCCGCCGTGAATCGTCTGAGGAATGTGCTTCTTCCTCTTCTTGGGCAGCTTCTGCTTGGCCATAGCCAGCGAGTAATACATCCCAAAGTTGTTGACGATGACGGGCACGGGCATGGCGATGGTCAGCACCCCCGCCAGTGCGCAGAGGGCGCCCACCAACATGCCTGACCACGTCTGGGGGTACATGTCGCCATAGCCGAGGGTGGTCATTGTCACCACCGCCCACCAGAACCCAATGGGGATGTTCTTGAAGTGGGTGTGGTCACTGGCTGTGAGGTCATTGGGATGGGCACCGATGCGCTCGGCGTAATAGATCATGGTTGCAAAGATGAGCACGCCCAACGCCAGGAAGATGATGAGGAGCAGGAATTCATTGACGCTGGCTCGCAGTGTATGGCCCAGGACCCGGAGGCCGACGAAGTGGCGGGTCAGCTTAAAGATCCTGAGGATCCGCACGAAGCGGACCACCCGCAGGAATCCCAGCACGTCCTTGGCGGCCTTGGAGGAGAGCCCACTCAGGCTCATCTCCAGGTAGAAGGGCAGAATGGCCACAAAGTCTATGATGTTCAAGAGGCTCTTGACAAACTCGAGCTTGTCTGGGCATGAGATGACGCGCACCAGGAACTCAAAGGTGAACCACAGCACGCAGACGCCCTCCACATATGTCAACGCCGGGTCTGTCTCGATCTCGATCTGTGGGCCGTGGTCCCCTTGGCTGTCATTCTTTATTAGTTCTGTCTTGTTGACTATCGTGTTGAACGCCTCATGGGTCTCCAGGCAGAAGGTGGTGATAGACACGAGGATGAAGAATAAGGATGCAAAGGCTATAAACTAGAACAGAAGAGAAAGGAGCAGTTCAGAACAATTATACGTAGGAAAAGGCGATTGCAGTAAAGCCATAGTGAAGCCAACTAAGTATACAGAGTTAAGATTAAGGGAAAACTCACAGTTAATTGCAAAAGGCATTTAAGTAAAGTAAAGTAAATATCTCCTACGTCTGACTTATATTTATTGAGATGGGACGCTTTAATGCTCGGGTTTACCCAGGCTGAAGCCCAGGGGCCTCGACTTAAACGGGGCCTCAGGTAACCTTGTTTAATAAAATTTGTAACCTGGAGTTGCCACCAATCTTGTTTTGAATAATAAAATGCTGTGTCCCATTTTGATCTGATACAGGCTGTGATTTGTCCCATATTTTTGAGCCCAGACCGAAATATAATTTACGCTGGACCACGTGACCAATGCCCCCTAAAATTCTGGAATGTTTTTAAACCTCAGCAAAATTTATTGCCCCCCCCCACCCCATTGTTTGGAAAATGTAATTGTTGCTCCATAGTAGAAAATATAGTAGGAGGCTCTCTGACAACTCAAACAGCCCAGGGGCCTCTGTGCCTCTGGATGGAAGCCAAGATTCAACACTATTTCCTTTTCTTGTTGTTGCGCTCTTCTAATCTCATCCGACTAGCATCTACCAGCAGATAAGGATGTGCTGACTGTCTTAATGAACAGGAGCTGCTTGTCGGGCGCATCCAGTCAGGCAGCAGTAATCAGATCCCACAGCATCAGAACTCCAGGCTGTCCATCCATAGGACTAATACAGCATCTGGATGGAGCATATTAATGTCACCCCAACCAGATGATCTACCCATATATTTCCTCTCTCGTCACGACGGGTCACGTCTCTTCCAATCAGAAAATCTCACAAAAATCTGAGCTAAAAATGAAACAATAACTTAGGATATATTATTGCCCTATTACAGACAGAAAAGTCAGAGAAGAACAGCACGGAAAGCGCAGACATCACCAGCAATGAGCTTTACATTTATCTGCACTCTGTCTGACAGTGACCTGCTCTTCTCTGTATTCACACAGTCGTGTGTTTCACTTCACAGCTTCTACTAAGAGGTTTTTAGATAATTATCTTTCATACAGTTTATAATGATAGAATAAATTAACATCAGTTAGTCAACTCCATGGCTATTATTCACTACAGGAAACTGAAAAACAACATGTAAATAAAAACGGTACTTTACACTCAGACTACTCTTATAAAGGGTTTATGAATGGTTATAATCAGGTTATTAATTAGGTTGTAACACTTTGTATATCATCTATAGACAATCATACACAAGTTATAACACAGTTTCTTTTATTATTAATCAGTTACTACCATTTATAAGTGGCCAAAGGGAGCCTTTCATGGTACCATACAATTATTCTGGATTTAGATGAATCACTGCTACATACATACACACATACATACACACATACATACACACATACATATACACATACATACACACATACATACACACATACATATACACATACATACACACATACATACACACATACATATACACATACATACACACATACATACACACATACATATACACATTATCATCAGTTTTTTCCACTGCAATAATTCTACGTGCTTCGCTTCAGTCTAAGTAAAGTGTATGACCTATGACCTTAAATGAAAGCCAATCATTTCTGTCTGGAGACAGATGTTCCCAGGTGTTTGATCATCCTCCACATGTACATGTCGGGGGCTGCTTCCTCAAACTCTTACATTCTGATTTTCCCTTCAGGTTACAGCCACACTTGGGGAACGCACACCTGTTTTCCGATGGCTTTTTATCAGATTGTGGCGCTATAATATACGGCATTCCGTGTCCTAAAAAGGGACGTAAGCAAGGAGTCCCAAGTGAGAAGTAGAAAGCTAGTCGCTGACCTAGAAAGCCGTGTTTTATTCCTTATGTGTTTTGAAAGCTGGCAGAACATCCAGATACCTGGATCTTGGTGTAACAGAAGGTGGGCCGGATCTAGAGATGCAGGAATCTCAGAGAACTGAAAGCTAAACAAAGCTCTGGGTATCTGAATCTCCGGCTGAACCTCCAGGTTCCTGAATCTCAGTGTATCAGAGGGCCAGCTGAATCACCAGGCTGCTGAAACTCAGTGTGACAGAGGAGGGCCAAGTCTAAAGGTAGCTGAATTTCGGTGCATCAGAAGTTGGATGAACCTCTACCTAAATCTCATTGTACCGAGTACACTTTCCAGGGCACAATAAGAATTTAGTGTCTGTTTCCCCTTTGGAGCAACTTTGATTTAGGAACTGTGTACACAACAGCAGAAACATTCCGGAATGAGGTGAGAAACATTCCGGGGCTTTTCTCCGTGCTATTCTTACCGCTGCTGTCGCGCGGCCCACGGAGGGGACGAGGAGAACAGTTCCGGTCTCCCCGTCAAACGGCAGACCAAAGGAACGCGTGGGAGCCGTCAGTCAGCAGCAGGACCCGCTCGGCACAGCCGCGGGCGCTCTGCCCGGCGGTACAGACCGAGCCGTGTGGCAGGCACATCCCTCCGAGCCGCGGCCCTTTTCGCACTTTGCAGACACAAGCAGCCCACGGAGCAGCAGCGTGTTCACCATCATGCGGAGGAACGTTCCAACCCTCGGGATATCCATTCTTAATACCAATCCGTTCACCGACAGTTCTTTGGCTGCTTCCTTGTTGCGTATATTGAGTGTTTTTATTTTCTCTGTGACTGACACCTTTCATAGTCATACTCACCATACTATCACAATTATGGCACGACGGATTCGTGTGGCGTTAGTCAGTGCCGCGGGAAGTCGAGGTGGTGCAGCCTTGCTCGTTCCCCCATCGCATGTCACCGTAATGGCAAGTCGCAAATTTTCATCTGTAATATTTCAGCCTCCTTCACCAGGGTGTTTTTTGTAGTCTTGTCTCAGGACAAAACCTGTGCCTGCCTAAACCTACCAGAGGGGGCGCTGTAGCATAAAAACTAACCTGTGCATATTAACATCGCATAATAATAAATATTACCAGAAATAAATATTAATACAAATAAAAAACATAGTGGTATGTTAAATACATAACATACAGTAAAACATGCAATTGACTTCCTGTTCTGTTCATACCTCCATGGACTGTGATTGATGTTGACTAAATGACTAATTTCCTTCTTATTGAATGCATAAACATAGATTCATTATACATGTTGTCTCTTCAAAGCACAGCATAGTTACCATAGCATAGACAGACACAGATGCAATCAGACCTAATAGCCCAATGCTGTTTTATTAGCTGTTTATTTATGGCTGTACAGTATTAGCTAACATTACTTTGGTTAAAAACCGCTGCCAAATAAATAAAATGCAAATGTAAAGGTACTTAAACTGTAGAGGGCTGTCCTTGCCATTGGCCTGCAATAGGGTGCTTATGCCCATCAACACAGCAGACCCGCGTACTGCGTAATCTACAAGCCACAGCATCAATATGCATTGGGTGCAGCTGCAGAATAACAATGGGCGCCACTGGGTGCAGAGTATTCGCACTGGTCCAGTGGATGGGGCACTGTGGGCCAGCACAGTGCAGCCATATAACCAAACACAATGTATGTTCCAGGGTGGTGCACAGACACTGTGCCCCAGAACTGCGATTATAAGCTGTAGTTGACAGATTTATTGATCCATTAGGTATAGAAGTCAAATCCAAAATAATAACTGTTTTATGAAATACTGGAATGTAACTGTTAATTGTCTTACAAATATGTGCAAGACCTGCTTCTGGAGATGATTTTTGTCATGCTAACATCTTACAACGACTCGCTATTATGAAAACAAGCAGCCTGCCGTCTGATACTCGTGATTTTTGTGTTTATTCTATCAGTATTCTGTGTAATGCACCTCGGATCAAGTTTGTTGTGTTTCATGTCATGCTAGACAGACATGTGCTGTGAGCGCTAATGTTCCATGTGTCAGTGTGCGGCACATTTTTAACCAAATCCCCCTCCAAGCTGCTTCTGCACAGTTCGCGCGGCCAAATCGATTAGCCGCCACTTGTTCAAGGCTCTGCTGAGCAGGTGCGCGCCTCACTCCTTACACCGGCCGCGCGCCATACGTCTAACCAGGAGCAGCTTCGCTTTATGCACTGCATATCCCATAACACCTTGCTGCCGTGCCCCCCTACAGAGGTCATCCCTGGCCCTTTCCATATTACTGGTCTTCCTTTCATTATTGGGGATTTCAAACCCACATTACATTAAGCGTTCCTTAATACAATTTAAAACATATTTAGTACATTGTTAAGAATAGTTTTTTCTATGAAACTATACAATAAAAACAATCGCCTGTCAATGTATTCTTTGCAAAAAGACTTATTATAACGTATACATGGTTATAATCTCTCTGATCTTCTTTACACCATCTGAAGTAAAATAAGGACACTCACTATACGATAGGTTTCCCTAAGGAAATTCAGCAATACTGAATTCACTGTATTCACATGGAGCCAACTGCACCATCACGCACAGTAAATATCCAGTGTGCTTCTCAAAGCCATGCAGGGAGTACTGGGGAAAAAAACAAGAGCTAAACAAAGGAGAAACCTTCCCTTGAGGATGATGATGGACAACCCCCCCCCCACCCCCCAGGACTAGTGGTTCAAAATGCTCAGCCTTTATGTGCAGGAAGAAAACTTGTATAATTGGGAGCAAAACAGTACCTAAAAAAGAAAAAATGCAATCCCTCCCACCACCCACGGATGTACGGCTTGATCTCCTTCATTATACATCCCATCAGGATGACAAACCCGCCTGGGGTCCCTTTTTAAATTCGAGGCTTTTGCCAACCAACCAGATGCCTGCTTAAAAATAACACATAACAACGTGGAGCCACGCTAATTTGAATAATTCATTGTTACTTTAATCCTCAGAAAAAAAGAAGATGCAGCAAAAGGAGGAGACAGTCGAGTTCTTGCCAGACACAGAATTGTGCCGTCTTCATAACTTCAGAGTCGGGGAGACGA